GGAACGGACGGGAGGAAAGGGGAGAACCGAGAGTCAGCAATAGAAGGATTGGACGGGCCAGTGGTGGAACTGAATTCACGTGGAACCGCGTTTTGGGGAGGAATCCCCTTTGGAAAAACAAGGCCACACTTTGCTGCTCATGTCGCCCAGTTCTCATCTTCGCGAGAGATTTCGGTGTGTCGTGGTTGCTGGGGAAACCATGTTTTCAGAAACGGTTTAGGTCATTTCGGCCAAAACCGAAGAGCCAGCAGGGGAATGGGGGAAGGGTGTGTGTACCCAACGCAAGAAGATCAAGGCACAAACTCCATTGCTGGGTGCTAGTCCCGTTCAAAATTGTTGCTCCCGCCAACGCAGTGCAGAAATTTAGCATCAATTCCGTTTTGCGTGCGCGTGTCTTGGTTCGGAAGCCACTCCTTTGTTGCTTCCCTTTTCTAACAAAAGCCCGTAAAGGACACGGATACCAATGCGGGCTTTGTCGGGCGGATCGGCCAAACGTGACGCAAATAGTTGGGCTATTCTTTTACAAACGAGCCTATCTCCCACGCTGCTCTTTTTGTTGGGCAAGAGGCGGGGAAATTTCTCCAAAAGGGTCCGTGGTTGTTCATTTTCTGGAAGGAAACCGCAGCGTGTCGGGCTTTTTCGAACCACTCCCCCACCAATCAGGGTTTCGGATTCCCTCCTTGGAATCCGAGCCCTGCAAGTTGACTTTCTTAGTTTCTTTCCTGCCCTCGCAACGAATCGACCTTTTGCCCTTTCGGTTTCCCCTGCTTCATGTTTAGCGAAGCTTCCGAAAGGTGATTTGTCGCCCATTTTTTGTGGTTGGGCCCTTTGGGGCAACTGGGGGCATTGTCTCTTTCGCGCGGCATTTTCTTGCGGAGGCCGGCAAAAAGACCAGCGCCTGGCGACCTGCCGGGCTGCCTGCGACGCAGTGGAGCGGGTGCTGCGCAGGACGAGTTGGGCGGGTCCAACTCTTTCTTGCTGGTGGCAGTAGGGAATGAGGGAATAAACGCAAGGGTTCCCCTCAAAGGGAACCACAAGGGATGGGTTTTTGCTTACACACAAAGAACAAACCAAAACAAATCAAACAAACGCTCCAACCAACCAACCCAACCAAGTAAAGGACTCCTCTTGAGGTTCCGAAGAAGGGGAGCGAACCCCTGTTCGGAGGTCATCCCGGCCCAAAGCAAACACACCAAGCAAACCGCGCCGTTTTGCTTAAAGAATTTTAAAGGGAACCGCCAGTTTGAGGGGTACACTGTGATCCATTTGGGACTGGAATCAAACACACACCCGCTAGCTGGCGCAATATTTTGGTCATGCACAGCGTGGCTCTGCGTCAAGAGTTGGAACATGTAGGTTTTGGAATGGTAAATCATGAAAATATGTTTTCGTGGTGGTCCTTAAACACACGTGAGTCGGGGCATGCGGACGTTCATGCATCAGTTGTTCAAGCGGCATATTCGGAGCCAGCGACCAGAAGCGCAACTCTGAGCTCTCGGTGTTGATCCCATCTTTCTCAGCGTCATGTTCTTTTTTCAACCGCATTTCTTTTGCTCGGTGTTGGCGTTTTTTGTTTTTCAAGGGAAAGAAGCCGCCGCGCTGGATTCATGGGCCAATGGCCAAAAGAGTAGTGCCCAAAACCGTGGGAGAAGTTGTGTCGAGCCTGGGGGCCCGAGAAAGGGTTTGGAGGGACCAAAACCCGGACCCTTGTGGGTGATTCAGGCCCTTGTTTACAAGTAAAGGGCCTAGGTTGTTTTGAACCTAAAAGTCTGGAATGAACGTAGAAGTTAAGCTATGTTAGCCAGCCAATTGTAAACGGTTCCCGCCCGTTTGGCAACTTGAGGAATAGATTTCGTGCCAGGCGCAGCGCTTGTGCAAACTCCCATTGGCACGGACGTGCAAATTTGCGAATGCTGATTTTGTGGCTGGTAGAGCACTTTCGCAAGATTGAGTGCGAATGTTGCGGCAAGCGCGTCACTTTTGCAAGGTCAAGTACAGATATTGGGCGCAGCGCTCTCGCAAGGTGTGGTGCATTTTTTTAACGCGGCGCAGCGCTTTCGCAAGGTCGGGAACAGATTTTGTGGCAGGCGCAGAGCTTTTGCAAGGTAAAGCGCAAACTTCGTGGCAGGCACGGCACTTTTGCCAGGTGCGGTGTAGATTTCGTGGCAGGCGCAGCGCTTCGCAAGGTCACGTGCACATGTCGTGGTAGGCGGAGCCTTCAGCTTAGAAAGCTTAAACTCGACAACAAAACCAGAGGGGCGCCCAAAGGCTTTTGAGCCGAAACCGAATGCGACCCTTGAAGTCATGGAACTTTTTTGGACGTATGATTAAGTTGGCTAAGTTCAGCTAACGCAATCGGACAAGTTTTGAGGTTCTCCAACCGTATTTTTCTTGGTGTGGCACCTCCCGACTCAGAACGTGGGGTGCGTCCACCTGAGTTTCCCTCCAAAACAGAAAGGGGTTGCTTTGCTTCCCTGGGCTTGTCAATTGCTCTTCCAAAGTGGCGCCCGCCAGCCGATTGGTTGATGAGTCTGACGGGCAAGGCGGACAGTACAGAAGTTTTGTCTCTTGATTTCACGTCCAGTTGTTTAACGAACTCTGGTTGTTTGAGAGTGAAGCTTCGTGAAACATATGTTTCACGAGGAAAGTCGTTTTAAAGATCCCGGGAGCTCACAGTCGGCTTGCGGGAGAGCAAGGTATATATTACCAAAGTGGCCATTCCCCTCCTCCATGTAAAAGAAACCAACCCCCACCCGGCTGCCCGCCCACACGCGTGCCCGCACATTTCGTAAATGATGGCGACCTTACAAGGAGGTTTGCAACTGAAGGTTCCCTCATAAAAAACAATCCCGGGTTTCTATTGATGCACCTTGATAATTCCTTTCTGAAGGGAATCCAGCAGCATCCCCAGTTTTGATGCGGCATCATGAGCCACCGAATCAACAGAGACCACACGGCACATTGATAAACCCATACTGTATGTATATAAAGATGTTCCTGTGTGTGTTGACCCAGGAGGTCATCGAGGCGAAGCGCTTTGCCAATTGTCAAGACGATGTAAAATACCAGCGGTTCTTGGAGAAGTCAAATAACAACCACCATTCTGAGGTCCCTTTGTTTTGACCGCATGAGCTACAATCTTTGAATCTTTGCCTTGCCAGGATGTGATCGGCCAAAGGTGCCGAGCGGAAATTGGCCAAGCGGCCGTGCCGCGCAAGTGCGGCGCAACGTTTAGTTGGGGTTCGTCGTGGTTGGGCTCCCGTGGTGTCCGATGCGGATAGGGCCGAAGTAATCTGAATGGGGTTGTGGGGGACTTCAAAACCAAACTAAGTCATGCGCATTTGGACTTGTGTGTGTGTGTAGTTATGTGGTCCCTTGTGTTACATCCACAACCGATTGAGCCCAAAGCTGGCGACTTTGACAGAGGCTCATGGACCTTTTGGCAAACTCTGCATGTCCATGATATGTTTTGAGGGAATAAAACCGACGACCCCCCTCCATTGCCCGTTGAAGAACCGGCCCTTACCAGACCGCTGGCTTCGAAGACGTGGACCACCTTGTGGGCACTTCCTTGGCGACCGTTTGCAGAAATTCCCACTACGGGTCGTCAGGGTTGCGTTGGTTTTCTGGTAGTACTGTTGTGCTTGGTAACAAGACTTGTTTGTGGAACACCGTGAGAGTTGTTGGACCTTGAGCACTCACCCTGAGGGAGGTCCGAGTTTTTGAAGAACTCGCTGCTAGGCAGGGGCCAGGTTGTAGGTTGTATCGTAGGATTTAAAAGATCGGAAGATGTGCTCTGCTCGGCCATCTTGGGGAGAAACACTTGGCTGAAGGCACTGTCAAGAAATATGGTTTCATGGTGTTGTTTTTGTTTGCACCGGTTTCTGCCCTCGCTTGCCGAGAGGGCTTCGGCTACTCCACCGCTTAGCTTCGATGGCTGCGCCGTTTAGTAAAAAGCTTCGACTCAGAGACTCGCGTTCTTGCTGCACGGCAAGGGGTACAGGGCAGGTTGTACTTGAGGTTTCTCTGTAGAACGCACCGGCAGTTGCCACCTAAGGAAGGCAGCATGCGCGCAAATTACCCAATCCTCACACAAGAAGGTAGTGACAAGACATAACAGTACAGGGTATCCATGTCTGTAATTGGAATTAATGGAATTCAAACCCCTGGCCTTTGGAGCAAATGAGCAGGGAATGATGATAGTTTACTGCACATCAAGAACCAGGCAAGAGAGAAGTTTCCAAGCACCAACCAGGCTGAAAACACTGATGGGCTCGAGTTGTGTTGGTCAAAAGGCAGCATGTTGTTGGTTGTGTTGTCTGCAGCATGTTTGGTTGTTTTTTGTTTTTTGTTTTTCCCCCCCCCCCTTTTTCTTGTTTTGTTTTTCTTCTTCTTCTTCTTTTTTTTTTGGGGGGGGGGGGTTGTTTCCCAGCCAGCTGGGACACCTGGCTATATGTGTTTTCTTCAGCCGATGTATCAGCACCGATTGACGATGCCCATGTGAAGTGACACACTCAATTTTAATGGCCGAAGCAAGTGCCAATACTTTTGTCACTGCACAATCCCTGTTTTTGCATTAGGGGTTGTCTTCATCGTTTCAGGCAACGCAGCCGGACATATTGTGTTTCTTTCTACACATTATTGAACAACCCGGGATTTAACAAGCTCATAAAACATACACGTGTGCATACACACAGACACACGCCTGTTGGGCCCGAATACAACCCCCACACTAAAGCAAGCTCGTAACTTCCTTTCTTTTCCTGCTGCAGTGCTATTGGCCCGACAGGGTCTAGAAAAGAGGAAGACATAAACCAGAGAGAATTGTCGAGGTCCGGATATTTCGAGCGTACGATAAACTCAGCCCTCCAGATTCCTGGCGACCTTGAGTGGGTTGGGTTGGGTTGGGTTGGTTGAGGACCAACATTCTTTGGATCGGTCCCATTTTCAAGCAGCATGAGCATGTCAGCTCTGATGAGATCAGATCGCCAACGCCCCAGGCACCCAGCTTGCTGCCAGGTCCCTAGCCTCTTCACTCAGCCCCCCGCAGTGTGGCTGGGACTCGCAACAGGACGCCCTGAAGCAAACCAATGGCACAGGCTGTAAAGACAAAGGGGTGGTGATTCTTGTGTTTTTCAGGGCTTGGATTTCAGTCGGTTAGAAGTTATCACCTTTTTTTTCTTCTTCGGTTTCCACATATGTGCTTGGCGCTGTTTTACGCTTAGTTTCTCAACAGGGGCCCTTCTCCTCGGCTCCTCTAGGGCAGCCTTATTTTGGGGCCTCTTGTGTTTTAAAGCCATCCGCAACATGGCCTTGAACGCCAGCTTGCCCCCCGATGCAGTGCCGGATGCCAGCCCCGGGCAGACTTAGGCAGAATTGCGCGAGCGGATCAGTCAGGCTGGGGGCTGAGCATGACTGCCTGCATCGAATTGCGCTTCTTAGATGAGCCGTTGGTTGGTTGGTTGGTTGGTTGGTTGGTTGGTTGGTTGGTTGGTTGGTTGGTTGGTTGGTTGGTTGGTTGGTTGGTTGGACTTTGACCAACCCTGGTTGCTGTGTGCAAGGGTGCCGACCTTGTGACACTGCGCCCTCTGACGGATGCACCATCGCAATGTGAGATACATGCACACTGCTTCCAATATTGCTGAAGGACTTTGCGAGTCGACTGTTTGGTGCTTGTTTGAATTCTCCAAATTCTCAACGAAGAAGCTCCTTTCTGCAAGGCCTCCGTCCTGCCGCGTGGCTCACCAGGTATTGTAGACACCATCCCAAGCGCAAGCGAAACGCTGTGCGCGCGCGCGGCTATGAGGGCGTTGCTGTCTGGCCCACGGCTTCACAGGCCCCTGGCCCGCGGCTTCGCGGCGGAGGCCGCGAAGACCACCGCCAGTGGGAAGGTCTCGCAGGCGAGTGAGTGGCCGACTCGTTCACGCGCCAATATGTACATGGTCAGAATAGCCTAAGCTCGGCTTTGCCTGCAAGTCATTGGCAGATGCTTGGCAAGGGACACACAAACATCAACAGGCTAAACCAGTTTGCATCCCTTGTGTCTTTCAAGAATCGAACAACACGCTTTTGTCTTTGAAACCGCAGCTTTTGGGTCCTGTAGGAAAACAATCTCGTCCCGCTCTGGTTTGTTTTCTTGCCTTGCTATGAAGCAAGTCAAACCGAGTCCACAACGAGATCAAACCAGCTTTGCATGACACTGAACGTGTAGCCAGCTGTTTATGTATTGTTGAGATACTAAACACAATCCAAAAGTGGGCGATGGAGGCAATGGTTATCAACCACATGTTGAATCGGCAGGCGATGCTCGGCCCAACGCTGCTCGCAGGTGATTGGGGCGGTGGTGGACGTGCAGTTTGAGTCGGCGCTGCCACCCATCCTGAATGCGCTGGAAGTGCAAGGTTTTGAGCACCGCCTGGTTCTTGAGGTGGCCCAGCACTTGGGGGAGAACATGGTGCGCACCATTGCCATGGACGGAACTGACGGCCTCACGAGAGGTCAGAAGGTGGAGGACACCGGCGCACCGATCACTGTGCCGGTTGGAGAGCAGACGCTGGGCCGCATCATGAACATCATTGGTGAGCCCATTGATGAGCTGGGTCCCATTGAGACCAAGAAGCCCCTTGGTTGCAACAAGTGCAGGCATGAGACAAGGAAGCCCGAATGCTGATGACAAGCTCTACACCCCCCGATTCGTCTTCAGGATTGCACCTGGAAGTGGATCACGTGCCAGACACGTTCCAAAGCCACGCACGATTGTGATCCTTCATTGTGCACGGTGGAGGGAGGAAACATTGTATCTAAATCAAACAAACAAGCTAATCCTTCTCACAAACCAACGCGGACATTTAACAGGTGTCCTTTCCAAAAGGAAGTAGTCTTCCAGACACAATGTTTGAACTGACTATTTGGTTGGAGTAGGGCACTTAATGTTCGGATGCCTCTTGATGTTGTGTCGTGCATTACCAATCTTTCGCCCATCAGAAGTGACCTCCTTCGATCGACTCATGGCGCTTGGGCACTTGGCAGCAGCCAAGGTTCTACGCGATTCACAGGCCGAGACCGGGGCGGGTCCTGGGTGTGGGGCGGGTGGTGCCCCCAGATTTGAAGCTCCAAAGCCCAACAAGGGGCACCCTCCAAAAAAGACACCCAAGTCTGTCTCAATTCATCCCGGCGCTCCTCCAGGATAGACTCACACCGTGACTCACACCATTCTCAAATTGCAGTATGCCAACTTATCGCGCGCCAATGTCAGAAATGCTTTTGCTTTTTGGCGCACCATGTTGCATCGGATGCATCTACAGACATCGTGACGTGCCAAGTGTTTCTGACTCCGACTTTCCTTTTGCAGCCCAATGAGCCACCGAGCAAGTGTCAGAAAGGGAAAGGCTCGGAGAGGGCTGGCACAGACCCTGCAAGAAGCAGTTTGTTTCAACCGTTGCCGATCTTGAGAGGGGGGTTTGATCAGGATCAACTTTCTCGGTGGCACTATTGGGGGACAAGGAAGTGACTCACAAAATCCAGGCAGCCGGCCTGCTCCCATGTCCCTCTTACACTAGTTTTGTCGTGCTTGGGGTTTTCTGGTGCTACACCTTCCCGATCATTTCGGGCAAATCAGGCAAGGCCCAGGCTTCCATTTTTCGGCCACCCACCCAATGTGGGCTTTGCCCATGGGAAAGGCCAACCCCGACCTTCACCGAGATGAACACCACAGCGCAGCAGCTGCTCACAGGTATCAAGGTGGTGGATTTGCTCCTTGGGTTCAAGACCTCACGCACCTTGCAATCGTTGTAGAAAGGACACATGGGTATGGGTCAAAATGAAAACCACCACAAAACCGCAGGTTGTAGTCCTTGGTTCCATTTGCCAGGTTTCCATTTTGGGCACCTATTTTTGACCCACAGCCACATCACCGGTTACCCTTTCTAGAAAAGACACAAGGGATGCAACGCCCCTGTTCGAGCCCCCGCAAGAGCTGAGCGCAGGAGTCATCCAAAGAGATTTCTCTGCATGGTTTGGATTCCCTAGTTTTTATGTCCCTTGTGGTTTTGTGACTCCGCAGATTTCCCTAGGTTTCCTTCTGTGGTTTTAGGGTTCTCTAAATGTCCTTGTTGGTTGAGGGCGTAGATTTTCCCTAGCCTTCCCCTCGTAGTTTTAGGGTCCCTAGATTTCCTGTGATTTTTGGGTTCCCTAGACTTCCCCTTGTGGTTTAGGGTTCCCTTGATTTCCCTTTGTGGTTTGGGGTCCTTATTTTAGTGCTCCTTAGACTTCCCCTTGTGGTTTTGGGGTTCCCTTGATTTCCTTTCTGGTTTGGGGTCCTTATTTTAGTGTTCCTTAGACTTCCCCTTGTGGTTTTGGGGTTCCCTTGATGTCCTTTGTAGTTTGGGGTCCTTATTTTAGTGCTCCTTAGACTTCCCCTTGTTGTTTTGGGGTTCCCTTGATTTCCTTTCTGGTTTGGGGTCCTTATTTTAGTGTTCCTTAGACTTCCCCTTGTGGTTTTGGGGTTCCCTTGATGTCCTTTCTGGTTTGGGGTCCTTATTTTAGTGCTCCTTAGACTTCCCCTTGTTGTTTTGGGGTTCCCTTGATTTCCTTTCTGGTTTGGGGTCCTTATTTTAGTGTTCCTTAGACTTCCCCTTGTGGTTTTGGGGTTTCCTTGATTTTCCTTTGCGGCTTAGGGTTCCTAGACTTCCCCTTGTGGTTTCTAGGGTTTTCTATATTTTTTGTGTGGCTTTATATAGGGTTCCTCATATTGTCCCGCGTGATTTTAGGGTTCCCTGGATTCCCTAAGCGACAGCTAGAGTGTGTCAAGGCAATGTATTCATGATTAGCTTTACAAATCTGGAGCAGTCGCTCAGACTATCATTCTAAGCAAACACAGGGAACACACGAACATGTGTGTGGCTGACATCGACCTTTAATAAGTGTCCACACTAGATGGCAGTTGTTTAGGAAGATTTGTGTTCAGGAAATCAAGCGCTTAAAAGGGAAATCAACAACATTCGGCCCTAAAAGGGGCTACCGTCTACCCTATTGTGGGACACCCCCATGTTCATTTCCCCAAAACAGGCAAGGTTGAGTAGTTTCCAGGCTGACATGTAAGCTCCCAGGACCCTTTTCGAAGACTTACTGTGGATGGACGAAATTCTGCACCACTTTGAAACCATGACAAACGACAATTTGTTGGTATTTACAGGAGAATCATCATTCCAGGGTTTCTTGGGTGGTGCAGGATCTTGTCCATCCACAGTAGATGGCATGCTGGCACGGCCCTGCTTGGGCTAAGGCTGGCACCCTATGCCAAGGGAGGCACAGCCGGTGCCGTGTTTTCGTGTCGCACCGCGCATCCGTTTTGGGCTCCTGAGATCCAAAGAGGGGAAGATTTGTGGAAGACACGAATGTGAGTTTTTCAACCATGCATGGTCAGCGCGCATGTTCCGTTGAGTTGTTGCAGAGATGCACAATGTGCGATCAACACTTTAACGAATGCTTCGGCAGCCTTGTATACCTTTTGTTACCCCAGACCCAGAACTCGGCAGTTCCCGCCTGCCTCAGCGCCTCTTCTTTTCATCGGTTCTGAAAGCCCTTTAACATTGCTCAACCGACAAGCTGCCGAGTGCGTGAGGCAAGATCGGTCTGTTCGGTGGTGCCGGAGTGGGCAAGACGGCGTGCAGCCCAGCTTACAGAACCAGAGGTGCGAAGGCCATTGCCAGCAAGGCTTGGTCAGCTCCTTTTCCCTTTGGCTGGAAGGGAAATTTCAGCAATCGAAAGGCTCCTTGGGAGTCTGGAAGCTACAATGAAGGCTGGCGAGAATTTATCTGAAAATGAGGAACTGCTTTTGGCAACTGCGTGGGTAAAATGGTTTTGGTTGGGAACCCACAGGAAACCGTTGCCTGCAGGGATTTGTTATTTTCAGACACCAGTCACCCAACCGAGGTTGTCATCATGGAGCTGATCCACAACATCGCGCTGAAGTCTCTTGGCCCAAAATTGTCACGCAGGACGTGGCTAGCCCGCGGGGTGGAGTGTGTTTTACCATTTGGGTACCCCATATTTGGCCAACTTTGATGACCCCTAAAGATGTTTTTGTCGCATATTTGTGGCACATTTGTTTGGAGTCAAAGCGAAGCCAAACTAGGACTCCACACATTCTTTGGGTGCAGATTATGAGACACAGCCAGATTGCTTGCATGTCTGTCCCTTGAGCTTTGTCAGCACCGGTTCCTTGAAAATTGATCAACCCGGAGGCTTCTCGGAAGCTGATGCCTTCCAAAGAGGTTCGGCAAAACGCATCAGGATACGGTCAGTTTGGGGTTCAGGGCGTGAGACTACTAATCTGACAGTGACTCCCGGCCCCAAAGGGGGGGCTTTGTTCCATGCACCGCGGTATCGTGGTACCGCGGTATCGATTGGCAACTCTCTTTTGGCGAGGCACGGCGGCTACAGTGTCTTCGCCGGAGTGGGTCAGGAGCTCAGACTTGCTACGCAGAATCCGTTCGGACCCACTGCATTTTGGATGATGGAAGTCGAGAACTCTGCCCCAGCCAACGGTTGAGGATCCTGTGTATGAGCTGTGACAAAGTCTGGATTCCTGCAATTTATGGAATGCTTCCCAGTCATCAGCAGGCTTTGGGCCAATCCCTTCCACCAGTGTCTCAACTGAGGCGAGCGAACCCGCGAGGGCAACGACTTGTATCACGAGATGATGGCGAGCGGTGTGATCAAGCGACATGACTCAAGTGGACTCAGGCAGCAGTGATGGTGTGTGTGTGTGCGCGCTTTCTTTGCCGGGTTTGCTCAAGCCTACTGATTCAGTTTTCATATGGCGTGCAAGTCTTTTTGTTTGGGTGACACGGCGAGGGTGAAGGATAGAGGCAGAGGTGTGTGTCCCTTTGCGGTTTCTTCCGCACCGAGGGAGAACAAAGCGCCGGGCTCCAAAGTGCGGGCCTCGGTATCTCCAGCCAACTGGAGACTTGGATTGGCACACCTTAGTAGCGTAGTAGGTGGTTTGTCCCAGGCATGTATAGGATTATCCGTTTTGATGGGATTTGTTTATCCAACCCAGATCACAGTGGCAAGTTCCTAGCGCCGCAAAATATGCAGGCCCTTGGTAGCTTCCGAAGCAATGCTTGTGGGAGTTTGCTAGATTTGCGTGTAAATGGCAACCGCAAAGGTGGCCCAGAAAGGTGAAAGGTCGGCCCTTGTTCGGGTGACGTTTGTGGGCTAGAAGAGGACGACTTTTGAGGCAAGTTGCGGTTGATCTTCAAATTGAGGGATGGGAGCAGGGCTTTCCTGTAGAGACATCAATCTCTCATGCAAGGCATGAGCTGTGGGCGACTGGGCAAAGCATCGCACATCAGACTAGACAAAATACGAATGGGAGAGTATCATGCCAGCCATCAAGGCCGCGCTGGTGTACGGCCAGATGAACGAGCCCCCAGGCGCCAGGGCCCGGGTGGCTCTGACGGGCCTCACGGTGGCAGAGTACTTCCGTGACGAGGAGGGCCAGGACGGGACGTCGAATCCCCGGGCGTGGCCCTTTTGTGTCAAGCTTCCACCACCCGTACTGGGCCAACGCAGCAGGTTTTGCAAATCCTTCAAATTGAGATTATGTTATTCTATCATGTTCTTCATCCAATCGGCAGTAATTAGACCATAAATCGTATCCTAAGGCTACCCCAGAGTTAAAGCGATGTGCCGCTGCCAGAATTCGGCCTGAAAAGGGATTCATGGCGCTTAGCAGGTCAATACGGATTTCGGCCGAGCAGTGGGACAGATCCTAAACAGGATAACTATTGAACATTTTGACCCTTGTGTGCCCCACTGAATAGATTTAAGCTGTGAATGCCAGAGAACCCACATGCGCCCTGTTCTGCACATGGAAGCTTGCATTTGTGGGCCTGGTAAGCAGGCTTGTGATGTGCACGCGCTCCTATCTGAACTGGATATGGCCAGGCTCCGTGAGGGGCCATGTGCATGAGCCCGTGCGCCAGCTGTTTCACACCGAGCAATGCAGCACTTTAGCAGCTTTGGAACTTCACAAAGGCGTTGTCCCTGAAAGTTGTTGCATTTTGAGGGTTTCTCAAAATTCGGGGCTTTTGAGGATTTCATGGACCCAGCTTTAACCGGAAGCTTGTTCCAAAGATATCCGCTTAACTTGTTCAAGATGTCAGCTTCAAGAAAAGCAAGTGGAGTTTGAACAATTCCTTCTGCTTTCCTTTCAAAAGAGGCCACGGTCTGGTTGGTTGAACACAGTTTGCCAAACCCTGTCCGCACCAGAAAGCAACGTGAGGATGTGCTCCTCTTCGTGGATAACATCTTCCGCTTCACGCAAGCCGGCTCTGAGGCGAGATTCCAGCCGTGGCCGGCGTGTCGAAAGTTCCTTGTTTTTTTTGGGGTCCCCCCCCCCCCCCGTAATTTTACAAAAGCCACTTAGTTTTCGTTGCAGAAGTCACCAACATCAGACTTTTTCGATTTGTTCTCGTTCAAGGACATGGAGTCTTTTGATGCTGCGATTCCAGAGGCTTGGACTAGAGGATTTGGAGGATCCATATGCTCAGAAGGCCTGACAATTCATAAGATCCATTAATTGGTTACAGAATCCAACAAGCAGTGACTTGGTGGTCAGACACAGTTTTTTTTGACAACTACCCCGGCAGTTGGATCAATGCTCAAACGTGCTGAAAGCTGATTCTTGGCTGAGTGTCTTGACTTGAGCTTTGGACAGAGTTCGGCTTTCAGGTTGGAATGGCACGGTGCTCCAGATTCTGATGTGAACAGATGACAAAAGTACTGGTAGTCTTTTGTAGTTTGGGGAGGACACCAATTTCCCAGAAGGCCTGGCTCAGGTGGCTTGAGTTTCGAGGTCAACTTGGATCTCAACTCGGAATTATAGCTGGTAGATCCCACAAAAAGGTGGGTTTTCTTTTGGCCTCCCTTTCAACCACCCAGAAAAAGGGTGCCTTCAAAAAACAGCCACCCAATGGCCGTCGCTCGCCTCGTTTTGGGGGCTGGCTTTTTGCGCCAGGTGTCTGCGCTCTTGGGGCGCATTCCCAGTGCGGTGGGCTACCAGCCGACCCTGGCGACGGACTTGGCCTCCCTGCAGGCATGCTAAGTTTCCCATGCCCGTTCGATGCGTGGGCAGGGAGGGTTTTGTTGGATGGGGGGTGTTTGGGGGGCTGTCTGTCCAAACGGAGTCACAGGGATGAGAGATTGCCATCAGCATAGTTCGGCTCTTTGGCTGCCATCCAACACGTCTCGGGGAAGGTGTCAAAGCCGCTGCACACACAGCTTGGCACCCTGTCACTTTCGAAAGGAGGCACCATTCGTTCCTTTTATTTCTTATAAGCATGGGATATGCCGGCAAGGATCTTTTGCTTCCATGTTGCTAGGAGAGTCGAAGCATAGACCCCCAGTTGGTACCATGGAGTGTGTGTGTCCCATGTTCGTTGGGGATCTTTTTTGGAGGGAATCACCCCCCTCCATAACCCCCCTGATGTTCCATTTGGCGCGCACTTCCTTGCGCCAGGAGCGCATCACCACCACCCAGAAGGGATCCATCACTTCGGTGCAGGCCAGCGCAGAGATGAACTCTGGTTGGAAGGTGTTCCCTTCGTTTGCCTTTTATACCCCGTCGCTTTGGGTTTCTGTTGGCTTGCCCCTTGTTTCCCTTTGGTTTCCCTTTGGTTTGCCTTCCCGTTAAGGTATCAGAACGCGTGCCCTCCAAACAGACAATTTGCCATAGGCGCGGTAGGAGTGGCGATTTATGTCTTTCCTCACTTTGGAGGCCATCCAAAAGGGGGCCAGCCACGACCCCGGAGACCCCAGGTCTCGAGTCCTGTCCGTTCCGCGCGGCTTTGAGCCGATCCTTTCTCGGCATTCCGAGAGCAGAAGTTGGTTGGCAAAGGTTTTGGAGCTGGATAGGTGTCAACGGTCAGAAAGTCGGGTGAACACCCGATTCAAGTTTGGTGACGTTGGGAATATGATGATGGGCCATGTTCTCCACCGCAGGCTGTCTATGTGCCTGCGGATGACTTGACTGACCCGGCGCCTGCCAAGCACTCAAACATGGCCGCAGGCACCCCGTGGCGTAAGACTGGGGCACGTTCCCGCCATCACAATGTGAAGGGCATGCGTCCAGCCCGGGCATATCCATAGTATGCCCAGTCCCTCAACTAGTAGTTCCACTTCTCTTTGCCCTGGAGAGAGTGATAGGCCATGCAAGGGGCCAGCACAGTGCATGAAGGCGAAGCCGCAAGTGCCTCGTTTTGATGTGTTTGTTGTGGCACGTGCGGACTCCCAGCACTGGCCGTCCGAGGCCACTACCTTCGCCCACCTGGATGCCACTACGGCACAGCACTCGGAAGTCGAAAGGTGGACTCCTGCTGAGATCTTTGGACCAAAGGGAGGTTGGATTGCCTCACGCACAAGCCAACAAACAACAGCAGGCACCAACTAGTCCGCGCATTGTACCACCTATATGCTGGATTTGTCTCAGAGTCTTAAGTTCCGGTTGTTACTTTCCCTTTTGACCTTGTCATGAACCCTCCAAAGTAGCTTCCTTTTGGTGTGCAGACTGGTTCTTCAAAATCCGTCCAGAATCCTCATGCAAGATACTCACGAAATTCGCTGTGGTGTCCCGCACCATAGGAGAATCAGGATCTCCCCACTTTCCTTCGGCAAGCGTCCGAAGCACTTCAGGTCTTGTCCCGGCAGATTGCGGAGCTCGGCATCTACCCTGCGGTGGATCCTTTGGATTCCACGTTCGCGTCCTGGGGGGCGGCTTTCCCTAGCGGCTTTTCATTCTGGTTTTGTGTCCCTTGAAAACAACCCTAAAAAGGATAATTCGCACTTCAACATTCTGGCCCCACACCAAAAAATCGTCACGATTAAGGGGGTCTGTTTTTGAGTTTTTGTGGGGATGGCGGTCTTCCAAGGGAAGGCCCTCATCAACTACTGCTGGGGGTGGGGTTGATCAAGGATCATCATGACACAGTTGTTTAAAATGCCCATCATTACGAATATTATTTTTCAGACATCAAGTGTCTTACTGGCTGATTGTTGGAGATGAGTAGTTGAGCCCTTTGGTGCTGATGGGTGTCTAAGGTCGCGAATGCTTGACCCTTCGATTGTGGGACAGCGTGCCTTGTCAGCACTCAGGCAGTCCTCAAGCTGCGTTGAAGGCTTGCACATGGATGCACCCAAGGCGTGAATCGTAGATGGCGACATGTACTTTGCAGGATCTCCCTCATTCCCCCCAAAAGATGGCGTGCTCAGGTGCAGCATGTCGTAGTGGTTTAACATGTGTTTCTTTGGCCGCCAGGTCACTACGACATCGCCCGAAGCACGCAGAAGATTTTGCAGGACTACAAGTCCTTGCAGGCGCATTTTCGCTCGCAGCCGCTGGCCTTCGTGGGCGGTCTTGACCGAAGAACCGATCACAGCAAGGTCTTGCGTCTGCGGGGTGTTCCCAGTGTGAGCCGATCTCCAAGTTGTTGTGCTGAAATTGATTGACCGAGTAAGAGACAAATTGTAACACCTGGGGCTTTGGCTGCACCAGAAATACGGTCTGTTGAGTGCAGAGCACTAGGATGGGCACCCTCGATGTGGTGCTTGAAAGCCGAACCCAGCGAATGTGTATTCCGTTTGCATGGTTGAAGGGCATTCGTAAGATACATGGCAATGGAAAAGCGAGACACCTTCAGCAGAATTCTGCCATTGTTAGGCTTGAGCAGTGCTGAATTTCAAATGTTGGCCATTGGTGTTGCCAATCATTCACGGCAGGATATCATTGCCATCCTGGGCATGGATGAGCTTTCGGAGGAGGACAAGCTGACGGTTGCTCGCGCCCGCAAGGCAGGGATCGTACTTCTTGGTTAGCAGGCGCATGCTGCAAACGGGATACAAACGGAATACAAACGGGATGCAAACTCAGGCATTGTCACTGTACTTGAGCTGCTCAATCATCTCCAGCCCTCACCACAGAACATGCTCTTTGAGGATGGCCGATGTCGATTCTTTCTCTCAGTCGTATCTGCCATAAGCCTATCTCACCATCTTTCTTCACCAAGTGGGGATGCAGATTGCGCTTCCCAGGACTGCTTAGAGTCAGAGTTGATTGGCCCAACCTCAAACCCTGCCAAGCTAACCCCCCCAACCTCCAACCCCCGCCCAAGCCCCCCCCCACCCCCAACCCGGAATACGGCTTAGCCTTCCAAACCGTTGGCCCCGGAAGATGGGGGCAGCGCTTCTGAGCCCATGAGGTGCAGCGCTTCTTGTCCCAGCCCTTCTTCGCTCTGGGCTCAGCGAATCCATGGGCTGGGGGTGGACTGGGTCTGTCGGATCGCAGATGGGTTCGGAGTAACCAGGAGTATTCTTACTTGGGTGTTCAAGCCACCTGGTACATAGGTTGACATGATTGGAAGTTAGGGGCCTAACCCCAGTTACCCTGGTTGTGTTTGTGGCAAATAACATACTTACGAAGTGAGTTGAACATCCAAGCAGGCAAATGCAAATAAGACCCTTGCATCTGAGGTTGCTGAGATTTTCACTGGCACGCCTGGAGCCTTTGTTGACTTGGAGACGACGATCAACGACTTCGAGGAGGCTTTGAGTCTTGTGCGAGCAACTGACAAAATTACTATTGGTTTGGGGGACATGCGGGGGACATTCCAAAATTCCCACAAACACCGGGGGGCCCACCCGATTTTCTTGGGTCCTTTTGGGAGAAAAACACTAAATTTGTCCTGGGCCCCGTTTTCCGACCCGGCGTTTGCGTCTTCTATTTAAAGGATTGACAGGCCCAAGGGACTCTCGGGACTGCGCGGGCTGTTCACCGCAGGTTCTCGCGGGCAACTGCGACGACATCCCGGAGGCAGGGGCTTGAGCCCTGAGGTTTGGGGGGAAGCCATTGTGGCTCGAGCTGATTCAAGCGTAGCGCTTGCTAGCTTTCTCCTTCGCAAACGTTTGTCAGCATGTGGTTCACGGCAAAGTTCCTGACCGTCTTGCTTGCGGCGATGTCGCTTGGCCTGCAGGGCTGTGGATGCAACACGCAGTCAGCCACGGATTGTGCTTCAACCTACACGAGCAGTTCAGTTCTGCGACTGTAACAGACACTGCGGCTCAGTGCAGTGCCCTTGACACTTACGTGAAGTGCATTGTCGACGGTGGCTCTGACTCTGACTCCAACTTCAAGGCGGCAATGGATGCAACCGTCAGCGGACTCAGTGCAGTGTGCACAGGGGACAACGCCGTCACAGCGACCTGCTGAGATGCTGCGCTTCATCTTTACCTTTCTATCACAGTGATTTTGCGGATCCGCAAGATCTGGCGCTTGGCAAAAAACACATTCATGTACACTGAGCTTCGAATACACGCATGTTGGAAAGACATGTTGATGAGGTTTGGCGCATCCCGGAGGCAGGGGCTTGAGCCCTGAGGTTTGGGGGGAAGCCTCGTTCTGGGGCAAAGGGGAATTGCATTGTCCATTGTGGCTCGAGCTGATTCAAGCGTAGCGCTTGCTAGCTTTCTCCTTCTCAAACGTTTGTCAGCATGTGGTTCACGGCAAAGTTCCTGACCGTCTTGCTTGCGGCGATGTCGCTTGGCCTGCAGGGCTGTGGATGCAACACGCAGTCAGCCACGGATTGTGCTTCAACCTACACGAGCAGTTCTGCGACTGTAACAGACACTGCGGCTCAGTGCAGTGCCCTTGACACTTACGTGAAGTGCATTGTCGACGGTGGCTGCTGCTCTGACTCCAACTTCAAGGCGGCAATGGATGCAACCGTCAGCGGACTCAGTGCAGTGTGCACAGGGGACAACGCCGTCACAGCGACATGCTGAGATGCTGCGCTTCATTTTTACCTTTCTATCACAGTGATTTTGCGGATCCGCAAGATCTGGCGCTTGGCAAAAAACACATTCATGTACACTGAGCTTCGAATACACGCATGTTGGAAAGACATGTTGATGAGGTTTGGCGCATCCCGGAGGCAGGGGCTTGAGCCCTGAGGTTTGGGGGGAAGCCTCGTTCTGGGGCAAAGGGGAATTGCATTGTCCATTGTGGCTCGAGCTGATTCAAGCGTAGCGCTTGCTAGCTTTCTCCTTCTCAAACGTTTGTCAGCATGTGGTTCACGGCAAAGTTCCTGACCGTCTTGCTTGCGGCGATGTCGCTTGGCCTGCAGGGCTGTGGATGCAACACGCAGTCAGCCACGGATTGTGCTTCAACCTACACGAGCAGTTCTGCGACTGTAACAGACACTGCGGCTCAGTGCAGTGCCCTTGACACTTACGTGAAGTGCATTGTCGACGGTGGCTGCTGCTCTGACTCCAACTTCAAGGCGGCAATGGATGCAACCGTCAGCGGACTCAGTGCAGTGTGCACAGGGGACAACGCCGTCACAGCGACCTGCTGAGATGCTGCGCAGAGGGGAAAGTGAGATGCTTAAGAGTCTCACGTGAAAATATTCAATTTTACCTTTCTATCACTGAGTGATTTTGCGGATGTGTATCTTATTGTATATTCCAGCTAGCATGCGAATCTCCGCAAGATCTGGCGCTTGGCAAAAAACACATTCATGTACACTGAGCTTTCAATGCACGCATGTTGGAAAGACATGTTGATGAGGTTGTGCGCTGCCAACGTGTTTCACGGAACACATCGGAATGACGAAGAGGATGGTGGTGCTGGTGGTGCTGGTGGTGCTGGTGGTGCTGGTGGTGCTGGTGGTGCTGGTGGTGCTGGTGGTGCTGGTGGTGCTGGTGGTGCTGGTGCTGGTGCTGGTTGTAACGATCATGCTAATGCCATGCCAGCGAGTATGGGTGCCGATCATTTCCGCTGCCATGCAATAGGCCGCCTTCTACATGATCGGCGGCATGAGCGATGTGAAGGAGAAGGCTGGCCAGAGGCTTGTGCTGTTGCTTGCGTGTTATGTGTGTTGCGTGTTGGCGTGTTTTGTTTGTTGGCGTTGCTTTGTGTTGTTTTGTTTGCTGGCCTGCTGATGTTTGGTTTTGAAAGCTAGACACGTTTTCGGACTTGAGAATTGGCAAGGCCTTTGTTTGTCTTAGCGGGCTTGGTTGCGCACCTCACCCGCACCTCACTGCACTGCTTGAGCCGCAGTCCGGTTCGCCTTCTGGGGGCACGGGTAACGGATGGACAGCTTTCTGCGTGGGTCGTAGGCGGCGAAGCTTGCGGCTGTGGCTGCTGGCAATTGAGCGGTGGTTCAGAGGGCAGAAGCAAGCCATTTTGAGGCACTCGACCAGAAATAGGATAGGACATTGCAGCAAGAGGGGATCAGCAAGCTAGACTTTCCAGCTCAAAGACTAGCTTGGATTAAACCATGTGGAACTTATCTACGCCCGTGTTAGAATCAGTTTAGCTGGATTCTCACTGCGAAGCATTGCCATCGCTTCAGAAAATGGCCGGCTTTTTGCACATGAACTCAGTCGTCGCAGACAGCAGAATGCCCCCGTTTGGGTTGATGTTTACAGGAGATGGACACTATACATGATCTCCACTCCAAGGCTTTGTAAGGATCCGCATTCAGGAGTCATACCCTTTTTCCACCAATCAGAGGAAAGGAACGTAGTCTTTACCTGTCAGCTTCATGCAACGGAGCCCGTCTGTCCAATTTTCCGAGGCGGAGAGCCTTGAGGCGGGCCTGGAGTCTCGCCTCAAGGCGCACCCGCGCCGATGGGCTCTGCAAATATGCGGCTGTGGGTCAAAAAAGCGCACCCAAAATGGAACCCTGGTAAATGGAAACATAGAGTAAAATATGCGGTCCCCTGGTGGTTTAATGTTGACCCATACCCATGCTTGTCTCCAAACAAGGAAATGGACCCCCCCAAAACTGGGCCCCGGTTTTGTTTGTTGGTCTTCGTTTAACACCAAGATGCATTCCTGCAGAAGACAAACCTAGCAGCACAAAGCCCGTCCTTTCGTTGGGGTTTCAGGGCGCAATGATCTCAGGAGGTTCAAAGATAGTCCACGAGATGACCGCGGTTTGGGAAGATTGGAGAAGCATCAGGCGTGAAGATGTCTGAAAGATTTGGGGTTGGCATGTCAACAACTTGGGACAATGCCAGAGGTGGGAGTCAGTGGGCATGTCGCTTAAAAAGAATAGGGTATTCATTCGTATCCAGTGACCCAAGCGGAGGGTCCAAACGGGGTTCGCTTGCGGATTTCATGTCTGGGGCCTGGTTTACTCCTTTTTAGTTCAGGGGAACTTCAACATTTGAGCTGGGGATCGACAAGGACAATGTTTGAAAGGAGGATCCCAAGATGGCCCCTGTTGGTTTCCCTGTAACCCCCCTCCAAAAGGGCACCCTCCAAAAACAAGAAGTTTCTTTGTTAAACCATCCTAAGGGTACCCTCAGCGGAGTCAGTTGCGTCCTTTTTTTCTGAGAGCACTGCAGGCTTCCAGAGCTTCAAGCGTGTCAGGCGCACGCGAGAGGGGAAGCCGGGCCTTTGACAGGATTTGCTTCACCATGGTCCAACCTGTCAGATTTCGGCACATGAGAAGCGATTTCTCATGTTGAGACAGCGGATCATTTCCAGCTTTCTTATTACCGCCAAGGCAGTCATTGCAATCTTCGCCCTTTACCATGGCCAAAACTCCCACCCAATCCCTTCCGCCCGTTAGCTTTATTCTAGTTTCAGCACTAGCCACTAGATTCGATGATGTGGCGTCAACATAGGAAGTCATGTCTGGTTGTTTATGGAAACCAGCATGTACCCAACCCAGACAGATCTTGTGAGCATTGGAGCGCTGTGATCAAGTCGCCGCTGACTCATAATTTGTTGTCCTTTCACCCATGGCAAGATAGTGGCGCTGAAGGACGGAACTGGGAAAAAGGCACAGAAAGAAACGTGCAGTACAAAAGTATTTGACCAGCAAGGGAATCGGAAGGAACGCAGCTCTACAAATACAAACAAGAGATACGCCAAGCACAAAACAGTGCAATAGATTTAATACACATCAAGCAACCGGGATTGCATGTGCTGGCAGATTCCTGCACAGATTCCTGTCAGGTTCTCCAACAGAGGCCCCCTCTCCGCTACAACTCCAAGAGCAGCGTGCTCAGCTACGTCTCCATGAGTTCGGTGTTTGTGAAAATCGGTGGCCCCCAAGTTCCACACAGATCCCAAGTACTTGGTTTCCTAGAAGCCTTCTTGCTTCAATGGTGCAACTTGCCGTTTTGACACACCCCGAGAAAAGGTGAGGAGTTTCTTTCTGGGACTTGTTTGGGCGCCCGCGTTCTTGTCGCCTGTGTGGATTGGCCCACCCTGTTAGTCATAGCCATCATAGCCAAAAGTGGCACCTTTTCCACGCATTGTTGATGCATGATTCAGTTTGTTTCTGCAAGGCTTGATGTTTGGTTTGGCAGACTTGTTCTTTCAATGCGCTGATTAGGTCTATGTGCACAGCTTTAGTGACATTTTCTTTGACAAACTTGAGGGCTTCCTTCAGAGGAATCCATGGTTAATCTCTTCATTCCTCCTGTAGTAGGTGCTCCTACTGCCTGGGTTGTTAGGTTTGAACCTGCAGAAACCTTGAGTACGCATCAGATCGTTGCTCACCTGGCAAACTTGCATCCTTCACCATAGCATGGTCTCAATTTCTCCTGAGAACGTGAGAACCTAAACAGCACGAGGTTGGGGGACATGCATCCCTGAAAACTGATGTCCATGAAAGCGTCGCTGGTGGAGAGTGCCCAAGTCCAGTGACTGGCCTCGCCAGTCGCAGGCTGGACGCTTACGCCGAGCTGGTGGACAAGCTCCGTAGCGAGGTCGCTCGGGAGCGCACGGAGCGCGAGGCGGGCGAGCCGTGGGACGTGGCGACTGCTTGGGGTCTGTGGCGCTTGGACAAAAACCGGGGACCCGTTTATGGACATGGTTTTCATGGGGGATTTCTGTTCACCAACCATGATTGAGGGGTTTCCCTAAGAAAATCAAACCTAGCCATTTGCCTTTGAGTTCATGTCTTTGGGAGGCCGATGGAACGGGGGCTAAAGAAGTAAGCACTCAAGGGCGGGCGCCTGGTGCTTTGACGACTTGTGAGGCTCGGTTGAAATAAAAGGTGCTCACCATTGCGCCCAGAATCGCCGGCGGTGTGCCTGAGGCCTCTGCAGCAAGTCTGGCAGCGTTGCGAAATTCGCCGACACCTCAGAGATGGCCCAGGATTTTCTGTGGCGAGTCAAGCCAGCAGAACCCAATCTTGGGCTAACTGGCTTGCGGAGCGTCCACTACTCAGGGGAAAAGAAAGGTTAGGACCCCTTGGGTGTGTGAAAATATGTTTATCTGGATTTCTCACCTTGTTTCCCCTTTGTGTTTAGAAGATTCCCCAAAATACAATAAAAGGGTTCCATTTTTTTCTACCAGGTCACTGGGCAACCGGGCTGAAGACTTGCAATGCAGAACTAAACCGAGCAAAATACGTCTCAAAATAAAGGGAGGCCAAACATGGGCTGGGCACCCTCAAAAACGCCCACTCCCGGATAAACATGCAGCAACTGTCCCAATCGCCCAGTCCAATTGCTGGCCTTCGAATTGAAGTGGAGAAGCCCTGCAGAATTGAAGCTGGTTATCCGGAGAAATCTCCTTGTAGACTGAGCAGCCTGCAACGACACGCTTTGAAGTCTACCCAGTTTGCTTTTCGCATGACAACCCTGTATACACCCCCAATCAAGATCCATTTCAGGCCAATACTTGTGAGCAAGATATAGCATGGGAGTCTTTGAACCAATCAAGAGCCATTCCCAGGCAAGAGCCATTTCCCAAAGGGTACATTCTCTCACTTTGCTGCGAAATATGGCTTGCCTATGCTTGTCTGTGGTATCTTTGTCACTGGGCTCACGCCATGGGCGACAACGCAAGCTAAGACCTGAGAGGTTTGAGCAGCTGTCCTGCAAAAGTGATTTTTCGTTTTTAACCAAGCAACTAAGTGACAAGGCAACAATGCAATCGATGTGCTCTTTCCCTCATCAACATTGCCACCCATTCGTGTTATGGGTGTTTGGACGCTGGTTCCGGGGACCCCAAACAGATTCTAGCAAAGGGGATCCAGCTTGCACCGAGGGGGACGTGTGTGTGTGTGTGTGTGTGTGTGAGTGTGTGTGTAAAACCCTCTGGTCGCCCAACTGATTGCTTGGGGATGGCCCTTTTTGGCGCGGAGGTATCGGCTTCTCTTGCAACGTGCGTCCACCGACAGCTGCGCGCCCAGCTGATGCTTCGCAGCTTCAGTTGGTTTGGCTGAGCACAAAATGTGAGGGACTTTTCAATGAACTGCTCTTTCCACCCGGTTGATCGCTTCTTGATAGGGCTTGCACGTTTATTCGCCCTTGATAGTTGACATAATATATATATATATGTATATATATATATATATATTATTGCATATATGTATATATATATATATAGAACAGGGGCCCCTCAAAAAAAAGCCCGCCCCTCTCGTCAGGCTTGGGTGACCCTTCTGGAAGTGGTGAGGCACGCATGGCCATGCCAACTTCCTTTGTTGTACATTGAATCGTGCAAAACGCACCTCCCAGAGAACGCATGGCCTGGCCTCTTGCCATTGCGAAAGTGGCTGGGCCCGAAACAGCTGCGTTCTTGCTAATGACTGCTGGCTTCTCCGAGCCGCCTCATCCAGGCACCCAATTCATTAGTCTCAACCACCTAAGAGCGCCTGGCTGCCGGAATCGGTTTGTCAACACGGGCCCTTTATCCAAACTCAGCAAAGCGGCTGTCCTGGTTTTCCTTTGGCCTCTCATCAACAATAAACATCAGGATTTTGGTTGGGGCAACATCAAGTGCTGCGCTCCCGCAGACAGCGCAGCGACCTTTCGCTTTTCTGTCCTTTGCATCACAGAAGGCCGCCTAGGCTGCCAGGAGCCTGGCGTCGAACGTGTGTCGACAGCTCTTCGGCCAAGCCACGCTGTGTTGATTTGGCGCGTGGAAAACAGCCGGCTTTGCAGCACCTCGCCTTGAAACATGAACAATGCACATACTGCAGGTGCTGTTTTATAGCTGAGACCAAAAGCACAATCTGCCAGTTCAAGTTATTATTTGAAAACACTGGGCAGGTGATTTGAGAGCGGCAGAGTGATTCATGGAAGCTCGGGTGGCCTGCAGCATTGCTCATCAGGCTTGGGCAAGCGACGTCGCCATGAGAGCTGTGCTTTCGGGCCAGGCGCGGCGGCTTAACAGGCCATGCCGCGGTTTCGCAGCAGAGGCTGCGAAGACCGCCGCCAGTGCGGGGAAGGTCTCGCAGGTGATTGGGGCGGTGGTGGACGTGCAGTTTGAGTCGGCGCTGCCACCCATCCTGAATGCACTGGAAGTGAAAGATTTTGAGCACCGCCTGGTTCTTGAGGTGGCCCAGCACTTGGGGGAGAACATGGTGCGCACCATTGCCATGGACGGAACTGACGGCCTCACGAGAGGTCAGAAGGTGGAGGACACCGGCGCACCGATCACTGTGCCGGTTGGAGAGCAGACGCTGGGCCGCATCATGAACATCATTGGTGAGCCCATTGATGAGCTGGGTCCCATTGAGACCAAGAAGCTCTTTGGCTTCAGTTAATTGCAGCTACAGTAAACGATGCTCTGAACCACTGCAGCACCATCATCGATACCAGTATATTCAGTAGCACTATGTAGTATTTGAGTATCCAGTCATCATCACAATAATAATAGTCATCATCTTCATCTTCATCATCATCATCATCTTCATCATCTTCATCTTCATCATCGTCGTCGTCGTCGTCAATTTCATCATCATCATCATCATCATCATCATCATCATCATCATCATCATCATCATCATCATCATCTTCATCATCTTCATCATCTTCATCTTCATCATCGTCGTCGTCGTCGTCGTCAATTTCATCATCATCATCATCATCATCATCATCATCATCATCATCATCATCATCATCATCTTCATCTTCATCTTCATCTTCATCATCATCATCGTCGTCGTCGTCATCCTCGTCATCGTCATCCTCATCATCATCATCATCATCATCGTCATCGCACACTAACATTCAAGGACACGTTCTAACGCAAAGGCATTTGACAGATCATGAGCGCCAGAGGTTGACTCAGTTGGTTGGCACACCAAGGTTTTATGCCATCCACAGGCAGGAGCACAGAGAGTAAGGGATTTTGGAGAGAGGCGAACCGTGGGAACGATAATTTGATCAAGTTGTCGGTGCATGCTGCATGCTTTGCATTGACATCCTGCAAATCAAGGTACAGCGGAAGCCCCAAATGAACCTTTGTAGAGACAATTTGTTCATGTTAATTTGTTGGAGAGTAAGCAAGCCTCCATTGTGTCTAGGATTTTTTGCTGTTTGTTTGGTTGTGGGTTGCGGGCCTTTTTTGTGGCAAGCTGAAATCCAGAGTCGGCCTCGCGGATAGATTTCTTGTAACGCAGGCCAACGCCGACCTTCACTGAGATGAACACCACGGCACAGCAGCTCTTGACGGGCATCAAGGTGGTTGATCTGTCGCTTGGCTTAACTTTAGAGCCTCCGGCTCAGTCCGCCGACATTGTCCTCTCCCTTTTCTCCTTCTTCCTCTCTCCCTTGTCTCCTCCCCCGTGTGTTCTGTCGTCCTCTCTCCCTCCCTCTGCTCCCCATCCTCCCATCCCGCCAAGCCTCTCTCTCCTCAATCTCCCTCTCCCTGTCTCTGTCTCTCTCTCTCTCTTTGTGTTTCTCTGTCTCTTTCTGTCTCCCTGTCTCCTTCCTGTCCACGCCCCTCTACAGAAAAAGGGTGCCCTTATTCTAACCTCTCTACTGGAGGACCTAGTCTATATCTCTCTCTCTCTCTCTCTCTGTCTCTTTCTCGCTGTTTCTCTCTGTCTCTCTCTCTCTCTCTCTTTGTGTTTCTGTGTCTCTCTCTCTCTCTCTCTCTGTCTCTGACTCTGGCTCTGTCTCTGTCTCTGTCTCTCTCTCTCTCTTTTTCTCGCTCTCTGTGTCTCTCTCTCTCTCTCTCTCCCGCTCTCTCCCTGTCTCTCTCACTCATTGCAGCGTCACGTCCCCCCTAGTTGCCGATGTGCTGGCACTGCCCCTTCATGACCCTGAACTGTCATCTCTACTGGCTTTCCCCTTGATTTCCCCTTCATGTCCTGTTCACGTTTCCCATGATGTCCTGGTCATGTCCCTTCCATTCCCTTCAACTCCCTCTTCATGTCCCTGTTTTCTCGGTATGTCCGCTTCATTTTCCATGTATGTTCTGTTCTTTCGTTGCTAGTCATTTCCCTACATCTCCCGTCGTGCCGATTGGTTTCCTGTCCTGTGTTTCCCTTTTACCCCTGCACTCCCCTTGTTTTCATTTCTGTCCCTTTCATGTCCCTTTCAGTTCCCCTTTGTTTCCCTCTCATTTCCCGTTGCTTTCCTGTCATGTCGACTTCCTATTTCCTCCCCTCATTTCCTTGCACTTCCTTGCATTTCCCCTTGGCAGGAAACCCAAGCCAGAAAAAAGAGCCGGCAGGGGGATTCGAGCCTGGGACCCCTGTTTTGCGACGCCGGCTCCCCGAAGACTACGTTTCGTGGAACGTCATCAAATTTTCGTGGAACGTCATCAAATTACCGCGCGGTACGTGGGGGACCCCCCCCCCAAACCCTACGTATTTGACATCGGGCGGGGGGGGAAGGGGGGAGGGTTATCCTCTATCCTCTCTTAAGTATCCGACACGCCTCCACAATGTCGGCGGATTTGAGGGTTGCCTGCTGCAGCTCACTGGCGGCATCCTAAATTTTGGCCTGGCCGCAAATGGTTCCGAAAATCACCTCCAAGTAGCTTCAGGCTCGGCGCCAAGCAGCGCTGAACGGCAAGCGGACGAGTCCGGAGCCGGCAATGTCTGAACATTGTGGGCTTTCTTTTGCCACTTACCCTTCCACGCAGAAACATGGAAGCTGACAGAAGTTCTCAGGGAGGATTCTCTGCTATTTGGCCACCGGGGATCCGACCTGGGAGACACTTTGAGCCTTGAGCCTTTCAGAAGGAGGAGCATTGCCAGCACCCACAGCCTTCAAACGCATGCGAGCCCTCAAAACGCTGCCCAGAGTTGGAGTCGACCTTCAGGCGTTGATTAGTAGATCTCAACTTGCTGTAGCCTACTTGATCATGACAAGAACCACAACGAGACTATGAAGACCGTGCGGCCAATTCCATTTTCATGATGGCACTTCATAGCACACAGGTTGCTGGGTGGGTGGGTAGTTGCGGTATGTTACTGCGCTCAGGCTGGCTCCATATGCCAGGGGAGGTGCCTTGGCTGCGATGTTTCAGTAAAGCTGGAGCACGTAGCTGTGGTTTGCTTGACGAGCTTTGCGATTTTCTGGCCGCCATGAACCGATGTAGCAAAGATGAGCAACACCAAGTCTGTGTCCAGTAGAGCCACTTACAACTTGTGAGGCGAGGATTGCAATCTCCAATTTTGCACAGTGCCTTTTAAAGGAAGGTGTAGGCATAGAGTTTCAGGCGCTGACATGACCACTACGCATGTCACGCTATGTTTTCACTGAGGTAAGATTGGGTTGTTTGGCGGCGCCGGAGTGGGAAAGACCGCTGGAGCCTTGGGGTTGGATGTCATGTTGCCTCAGCGATTTCGCAATCAGGGCTGTTGATAGGGTATGCCCCATCTCTCTTGTGCCTTGTCCGGAACTCACTTGGAGGTTGGTGTAAAAGTTACGGCCTTCCCAGTCTAACCCTGGTTAAGAGGGATTGCATATGGGGTCTCCACTCTGGCACCCCTTTCAAGGCGGCACACTACTGGTAGTCTGTCAGTTTGGGAGGGGCGTCTCTAAAAATGTTTGATTCCCTTTCGCTCCCGTTTAAATACCATAATTGAAATGGGGGGGTCCACCAATGTCACCACGGTTTCGGAAAGGTTCCCATATGTGTGATATCAGGTGGTGATCATGGAGCTGATCCACAACATTGCCCTCAAGTGCGCCGCGGGGGGGGGGGGGGAGGAGGAGCAATGAGAACACTCCCCTGACGTGTTGGGTACGATGTTGATATATGTCTCATGGAGATTGATAGATGTGTTGCTAACCAAAAGCCGTATTAACGAATGCATTTGTAGAACTCATTGTAAGTCCGACAGCCGTTGCAAAGGAGCTGCAATGCGCATGTGGCAATGCGCATTTGAGACAGA